AAAGACCTTTGTGAGACCGCTTTCCCGAGCCAGAGGGGCTGAATCGCCTCCTCTCTCCTTCCAATTCACCTGCTTTTCACGCCAAAAGAAACGCCCTTCCAGCTCCAGCATGGGGCGGTCATTTCCCAGCCAGGCTTTTGAACACTAAATTGCAAACTCCGTTGCACCAATCGCATCTGGGTCTGTCTCTGAGAATTCAATAAACAAGCTGTATTAACTCCAACCAGAATTTATCTCGTAGACTGATGGAATTCGTCTTTTTTTTTTTTCTTTTGCTTCTTCTGCTTCTTTTTCCCCCAAGGCCTCATATTCACCACTCAAAATTTAGCAGCCTGCCTTTGATAAATTACTCAAAGTAATCCCTGCAACAGCTAAGTCTGACTGGTTGACGTTGCGTTAGAAGTCTTCATAGCGGTATCTGTCTATAAAATATTCACTTGCGGACTACAAAGGGTGGATCATTTTTAATGACAAGATTCAGAACTGGAGGATGAAGGGAAAAGATTAATATCCGTGAATTCAAATAATTTAATTTCAAATACTGAACTTAGAACATTATATCCCACTAGTTTAAACACAGATGCAGATAAAATAGCAGATTCTCAGATGAATGAAACGGCCGGAAGAACAGAGTTGTGGGGAATGTTGGAAATGAACATTAATACAAACTTTACAGGAACTTTTTTTTTTTTTTTTAAATAATTCTACACCTTTCTACGTTCTGTCCTCTGGGATAATCAGCGTTCTAGCAGGGCAAAAATGTACGTGATTTTACACGTACATGTGTGTATATCTGTATATGCAGGGAGATTTTTTTCTCTAGAGATGGATGGAGAAATCTATTTAGATGACGGATTTTAATTTCAGTGGGTAATGTGAGCTTGTGCAATCAAAGTTATCAATTTCTGTCCTTTTTGTTTAGATTTCTTAGTTAAATGTGTTTGTTATATCTACCCCGAGGAAAAGCAACTTGAAAGTGTAGCTTTTGAGTCATCTTATAAATACATCCCTGAGGCTGCGGTTCTTGCCGCTTTAAGCAGTTTTCATTAAAGCAGCCAGCTGCCTCTTTGTGTAGATTGGATTTTTTTAAAGCAATCACTTGTGAAGCCCCGGCCTCAGTTTTGTCTCTCCGCAGGCCCTTAAAGTTGAAGTTTCATTCATGTCTTGGGTCTGTCCGCCGAATCAGACTCCTCGGAGCAACACTGGAAAGAGCCACACGAAAGCACAGGCTTGAATACCTCATAGAGAAAGGTTAAAAAGGAAGCAGAGATCAAAACAATCCCATCTCACAAAAGGTGCATTAAATGCGCCCCAGCAATAAGCACAAATCTTCCAAGTTGGCCTTTAAAGCGAGCACCAGGAGCCTCACGTTTATTGCACCCAGCAATTCTCTGAGCGACTCTCCACGTCTTTGCACTCCTGGCGCATTTCCTCCTAAAACAACATCTAATGGGTAGATAATAGAGACGCGGAAAGGAGGAGCGGGGATTTCTCCCCCTCCTCCTTTCCTTTTAGCTGCGTGAGTCTATCTCAAGGTTTGGAGTGCAGAGTTTAAAAAAAAAAAAAAAAAAAGCTTTTCACCTCTAAACACAACAGGCATATGCAAATATATATTCCCCACCCTACAGCCTCATGCATCCAAAGGCACACAGAACCGTGCGTTTGGGGAGCGTTCCTCCAGCCCCCCGAGCCGGGGAGGCTGACGAGCGGCGGCTGGAAGCCGAGGCTCACTAGGAACGAGCCGTGCTCTTGTTTTGCTGCTGGAAATGCAGCTTTCTCTCCGGCACGCACGGAGTTGAAACACCAGGGAGCCCAACATCTCGTCAGCCGGAGCCCGCCGCGGCAGCTGGGGGCGGGTGGCGGGCAGGGGACCCCCAGGTGGGGAGCTGGGGGGGGGGGGGGGGGGGGGGGGGGCGGCCACAGGACTCCCGCAACCCGCCCGCGTCCTTCTGGATGCACCTGATGTGTATGCAGCACCTCGCCTCCCAGCCAGGACTCAGCTCCAGTTAAGTGGCGCTCTATGTATTTTATAGCGAATATTCTCGAGTAGCTGCACTGCAATGAAGGAGATATCAAGGAGGCCTGTCAGTTCAAAGCTTTTGGGGTTGTTTGAAAATCTTCTTCACGTCAAAGTAAGCAGCCCTAGTATTTGAACAGCTGCTTTGAACAGTGAAAAGGGCTGAGCTGAATCAAAACACTGCAGTGTCTGCCCAAGACACCGCATCACCTTCAACCTGCTTTTATGCGAGCAGAGAAAAGGAAAGAAAGGCTGGTGAGACCTCTAATCCCGCGGGGTCAGCTCCGCCAGAAAGGGGCCACATGACTGTCTCTTTTACATCCCGAGCGGCCCGGACCTGAACGGCGACCGGAGCCGGAGCCCGCGGCGGGCAGCGGCGAGGCGACAAGACCGGCGGTCGGGCGCTCGCTCCCCGCTCCCCAGCGCTCCTCTCCACGGGGGGAGATGGGAGCGAAGGATGCTTAAGGAGCGGTATTAATGACAGGGCTAACAATGATGGGGAGGATGAGGAGGTGGAGTCTGCGGCGGCTCTGAATGCACCGGCCGCGCTCCTCGCTGCTCCCAGCTGCGCCTCCACAGGCGTGCGCTCCGCCGGGGAGGGGGCAGGAGGGACGGCGGGGGGCTCTGCCGGGGAGACGGGGTTTTGTCCGCCTCCTAAGGCAGCGGTGCTACTTCGGTAACTGTGATTACCGCTAGCCCGTGAGATCTGCCGCTGGGGCGGCGGGGGGGAGAGGCACGCAGGACGGTGACCGAAGTAGGCAGCACCTGCCAGAGGGCCGGGTGGGACGGAGAGGGCCGGGGAGGGGGGACGGGAAACGCACGACTGGGGCAGGCCCGGAGGGGTTTTCTCCCCCAGGAAAGTGTTGGTTGAATCTCACTGACCCCGTGTCCCGTCTCCTGGTCGCGGCAAGCCGCGGGGAGCGCGGTGCCGTCGGCACTCCACTGGGACCAGCTGTCCGTGGGGCCGGGGCACAAGGGACGTCCCTCGGACGACCACCGGGGTAGGTCCGTGTTCGGCGAGCACCGCACGCTGGAGGCGCCCGCGTGGAAACCTCGCTCTGAAAATGACGCGTGGCGCAGCCCCCTCGTGTCTCGTCCACGCATGAACTTTTTGGCAGCGGACCTGGAGGCGGGCAGCGCGGAAAGTCGCCCCCGGCAGAGCTTCGGCGGCCCCAGGAGCGGGGCGGGAGGGCTGGCCCGGGCGCGGAGAGCGGGGCGGCTCTCCCAGGACGGTCCCCGCGATGCCTTGGCAGAAGCCTGCTGCGGACTTGCCCTGTTGTTTTGTTTCAACTCACTGGTCTACACCTAATTGGGAGGAGAGAGACGAGAAAATGAGCATCAAATTATGAAATTCCTGGGTGCCCAGTTGTTTACACACGGGAAACAAAAGGCACAGCTTCACTTCAGAGACACTGACTTCCCTCTCCGCAGCCCTCGCAGAACAGGCAGTATTGTTCTTCCCTTCGCCTGCACCTCGAAGAAAGGGAAAAAAAAAAAAAAAAAAAAAACCAAACCCCAAACCTTAGGAAGAATCTCTACTCTTTCATGGACAAAGTTTGTGCCCCCCTCCTCCTCTCCTTCTCCTCCTCCTCCCTCCCCTCCCCACCCCCAGCAGAAGGAGCTCTTGATACGCCGCTAAACTAACGAAACGAGGTAACTCCTGCTGCGCCCCTTGTCTCAGGGCACTGGATATCCTGTTTATGCTGCTGCTGTGTATATGTTTATGTGCAGGAGCCCATCCCCCCTCTCCTCCACACCCCCACGCAGAGGAATATTTCCAGGCAAGGAGCCTTTCCAGCGCTCACGTTAAATACGATGATTTATAAACAACTCGCAGAAGAAAGCTGTTTCTTGTTAGTAGTAATAAATTCCCCGGTCCGCCCTATTGTGTTATTTCGATGAAGATAGCGGGAGCCTGCGACGCGCACCTACCCCCGTGAGCAGTTTATTTTCGAGACAAAGCTATGGCTTTCAGCTCAAAAATGGGCAGCGAACTCTTTTCGCGTTGGCCAACCTGGCGCTGCTCATTCCTAGGAAATCCGAATCCAGTTCCAGGGTCTCCTTCTTTCCTGTCCGAGCCGCAACTTCTTTTCTTTTCCCTATCCCACTCTTTTTTCCCCTATTTTTTTTCCTTTTTCCACCACCCTCTCGTGCCCATCTTCCCCATCCATGCAGAGTCGACAGCGCCGCTGAGGCGGTCCCGCAGGCATCCCGTCCCCACGGGACGGGACAAGCGGAACAAAACCACCTCCGCGGTGCTGAGGTGCGAAGCCCCGACATCCCCGGAGGAGCGGTGTGCTCCGGCGACCACCGGGTGCCGCGGGAGCAGGGCAGGGCCGGCGGACGGGCAGGGGGCCTCCCGCACCCCGCCCCCGGGGGCGCGGCGCTCCCCGTCCGTTCCGGCGGGGCTGGCTGCGAGGCGGCGCTGAGAAAGTTGGGGGCGGGCAGGCGGGCACCCCCCGGCCCGCGGCACTCACTCCGGGGCGACGCGGCCGCGCTCCGCGCTCCGCTCGCGTCCGGGCGCGAGCAACAGGAGCCGGCGTGCGGACCGGCAGCGGCAGCATCCTCCCGCCGGCGGTGCGGGGCGGGCCGGGGCGGGGCCGGCATCGGTGGTGGCGCGCCCCTGCCCTCCCCTCCGCTCCGCTCCCCCCGCCCCGCGGCCGCCGCTCCCCCGCGCCCCGTTCCCCCTCGGAGTTGGGTTCCAGCGGGGGCGGGCCGGGGGCGGGGCCGGGGCGGGGCGCGGCCGGCGGGGAGCGCCAATGGCGGGCGGCGGCGGCGGCGGTCGCCGGGAGCGCCGGCGTCCGTCAGGGCGCGGGGAGCCAATGGCGTGCGGCGGCGGGGCGGGGCGGCCGCGCGTGCCTTCGCAGTGGGCCCCGCCGCGCGGGCCGGGGGGGCGCGGGCGCCGCGCGGCGCCCGAGGCGAAAAAGTAGCTGTCAAATGCGCGGCGCCTTTAACCGGCGCGATCAGTGCGGCTCGGCGAGTCATGGCGACCGCAGCCTCCAACCACTACAGCCTGCTCGCCTCCGGCTCCCCCATGGTGCACGCCGAGCCGCCCGGCGGCATGCAGCCCGGCGGCGGCTACCGCGACGCCGGCGCCCTGGTGCAGGCGGACTACGCGCTGCAGAGCAACGGGCACCCGCTGAGCCACGCTCACCAGTGGATCGCGGCGCTGTCCCACGGCGGCCCCGGCGGTGGCGGCGGCGGCGGCGGCGGCGGGGGCGGCGGCGGCGGCGGCGGCGGCGAGGCGCCCTGGTCGGCGGGCGCGCTGGGCCAGCCCGACATCAAGCCGGCGGTGGTGCAAGCGGGCGGGCGCGGCGACGAGCTGCCGCCGCCGCCGCAGCACCCGCCGCCGGGGCGGGCGCCGCACCTGGTGCAGCGGCGTGGCGGGCGGGCGGCGCGGCGCACCTGCCGCCCGGCATGGCCGCGGCCAACGGCGCGCAGGCGGGGCTGCTCTACTCGCAGCCGACCGGCTTCACCGTCAACGGGATGCTGGGCGCAGGGCAGCCGGGGCTGCACCACCACGGCCTGCGCGACGCCCACGAGGAGCCGCCGCCGGGGCCGCCGCACCACGGCCCCGAGCACCCGCCGCCGCCCCACGGCCCCCACCCCGGGGCGGCCGGGCCGGCACCGTCCGCCGCCGCCGCCGCGCCCCCCGGGCCGCCGCCGCACCACGACCCGCACTCCGACGAGGACACGCCGACCTCGGACGACCTGGAGCAGTTCGCCAAGCAGTTCAAGCAGCGGCGCATCAAACTGGGATTTACCCAAGCGGACGTGGGACTGGCGCTGGGCACCCTCTACGGCAACGTCTTCTCGCAGACCACCATCTGCCGCTTCGAGGCCCTGCAGCTCAGCTTCAAGAACATGTGCAAGCTGAAGCCTTTGTTGAACAAGTGGTTGGAGGAGGCGGACTCCTCCTCGGGCAGCCCCACCAGCATAGACAAGATCGCGGCGCAGGGCCGCAAGCGGAAAAAGCGCACCTCCATCGAGGTGAGCGTCAAGGGCGCGCTGGAGAGCCACTTCCTCAAGTGCCCCAAGCCCTCCGCCCAGGAGATCACCTCGCTCGCGGACAGCCTACAGCTGGAGAAGGAGGTGGTGAGAGTGTGGTTTTGTAACAGGAGACAGAAAGAGAAACGCATGACTCCCCCGGGAGGGACGCTGCCGGGCGCCGAGGACGTGTACGGGGCCAGCAGGGACACGCCGCCGCACCACGGGGTGCAGACCCCCGTGCAGTGAACTCGCGGCGGGGGCGCCCGGCCCCTCCTCCTCTCCTCCTCCTCCTCCTCCTCTCCTTCCCCCAACTTTTGATTGTCCTCCTTTTTTTTCTTTTTTTTTTTTTTTTGGTCTTTTTATTTTATTTTATTTTCTCCTATCTTTAAAAAAAGACAAAAAAAATCAAAAAAAGAAACAAACGCGGAAAAAGAAAAGAAAACAAAAAGCGAGCGAGCGAGAGGGCGAGAGCGAATCACAGCGGACAGACAGATAGACAGACAAAGCACCTGCACCACACTGTCCCTTAGACGGTAGGAGGTGTGATGCTGTATTTTGGTATTTTGACCTTTCCAGGCGAGTGCCTGTGCACGGGAATGGAGTGGGTACCGCGCACGGGCAGGCAGGCGGGCACCGGCAGGGCAGCGGTAGGCAGCGGCAGAGCAGCGGCAGGCACCGGCAGGGCAGGCGCAGGGCGAAGCGGTTCGCACAAAACTCCCTCACTCGCTGGCCAAAACATACGGCGCTGCCCTGCCGGGGAGGGGGCGGAGGAGAAGGGGGGGCACAGCCACCTCGGGTCCCCTCCGCAGCCACCTCCCGCCACACAAAGGCAGATTGCATTGTGGAATGTCGCTCGGTGTTGGCACATGCTGCTGTGTTTATTTTCTGTGGATCCCCTGTATGAATATATGTAAAAGAAAAAAAAAAAAAAAAAAAAAAAAAAAAAAAAAAAAAAAAAAAAAAAAAAAAAAAAAAAAAAAAAAAAAAAAAGAAGAAAGAGAACTGAAAAGCTATCCCTTTTGATGTAGACAGTATTTAACCGTACCAATTTGCACTGCAAGAAAATCGAAGTTTACATAAACAAAGTGTTTATTTTTTCTTTTTTCCCCTTCCTTTTCGACCTTACTTTTGCAAATGACTTGCATTTTCCACAGTGAGCGTTAGTCAGCCAGTGACCAGTCTACAATATGTTACTGTGTTTTAGCCTTTGCTTTATGTGTATATGTGAACTTTTGTTATAAACAAGTATTCTTAAATACGTGTAACGCTTATTTTCTCCTTTTACCGTAGCAAAAAGAATTAGTATATGTGTGTGTCTGTATACATATGCATGCGTGCATAGACATACATACATACACATATATAATCTCTCTATATACACATATATATGCACCTCCAGCTTCCATTCTCCAGAGGTGTGACTCTCGAAATTGTTTAATATATGCCTTCAATGGCAAGAGTCGAGTTTGGAGAAGGGAGAATAATGCAAATCAAAAAAGTAAACTTCATTTTCAGGCAGTGTGTCCGGGGGTCGAGGTACAACCAAAGGGGGAGGAAAAAAATATGTGCAACCCTTCCAGACTATGTCAGTGCGGGCAAGCAAGGCCTGGTGTGGGGAAGGCAGAGAGGGAACAGCATGTTTCCAGAGTTTTCCCAGAGAAAGTGGCATTTCCTTGAGAGGGAAAGGGGATTATTTAGCTCCCCCACCACCGCCCCCTCAGCGCCCTTTCCTTCCCCTCCTCCCCCCGCGGCTCCCCTTCGTGCCTTTGGCATCCCCGGTCTCGCCGCCCAGGCTGATATCAGCCTCCAAACTTTCTTTTATTGAGCAGTTTTATGTCAAGGCAGAGCCAGGGAGAGCCTGAGGAGCTACGGGGCCCGAGGTGGGGGTCGGGTGCTTACACCTGCCTGTAAACACACACTGCCCCCTCCTCTCCACAGAGACCGTGTGCATTTCTTTTCCACTTTACTTTCCATATTTATTTTATTTTCTATTTGTATCCAGCCCCTCTCCCTCCCCATCCTCCCCTTGTCCTTTGGTCAGATTGTGGTATAATTTATTGAAGGAAAGGACCAGTTTTAACTTGGGCAGCCTTGTGTCTTTCACTGGAGAATGAAATGAAGTGGGGAAAAATGCCATTTTTCAATCCGTGTTTCCCTCCCCACCCTTCGCTAATAGTTTTAAAGTGCATTTCGTGACATTATCTTGATGAGAAATGGTTAACTTTCCAAAATAAAAAAAGAGAAAAACCCACGGGGACAAAAAGGAAAAAAAAAGGAAAAAAAAAAGGAAAACAAAAAGCTCTGAAGGGAAGCAGAGGAGCGGGACCTCGGAGCAGCGCATGTATGTGCGTGTGTCTGCGTGCGTGTTTGTGTACTTATGCACACACACAGCTATGCATATACATTAGAGGAACTTTATGATAGTTATAAATTCATAAAGGGATCATTTAGTCAGCACAAACGGGTGCTATAGAGACAAAGCATTTTTATAATTTAAAAGTTTACTTAGTTGAGTGTTGGACAATTATGGAGAAAAAACAGTGAAGCATTCTCTCGCAGAACTCTCCTATAAATATTGCATTCAGTAGCTAAGGCTTTAGAATATGTTTCTCATTGTCTTTTAAAATGCCTGTGACACTGGGTTTTCTTTCCTTCTTTCTTTCTCCCTTTCTTTTTTGCTTGCTTGCTTTCTTTCTTCTTGGTAAGACAGATGATGATTTCTAAGAGGCACATGCATTAGCCTTTTTCCTGGTTTTCCAACAATTGTTAAAAAGATACGGG